TGCTGTGACGGGAATACTAACCCACAGTAACGATTGCAGGGAAGCTCGCCGTTGCGCATTCTCCAATCAGGTCGTCTTAGCAATGTCCACAGATTCGCTGTAACAAAGTGCTAGCACCAAAACTCCCCTGGCCCGCCACAGCCTCCGTGCGTGTGTGGGAAGAGGGCGCAGAGATTTCTCCGAGCTGCCGGCGATTTTGCAAAAGAGGGTTTAGACAACGGATGTCGAGCGGCTAGCAAACTAGGTTCGCAAAGCCAAGGAATAGAGTGCAACGGAAAAGAAAAGGGGAAACCAGTTGAAAACAAACAGCCAACTAAGAATAACTGGCGCCAAAGCCATCGAATGCTCCCAAACATGTATGCTGTTTCCACAGCCCTTTTCGACCTTCGGTGTCTCGCGTGGCCTTTGCATTGACATACAGACCAGGGGGAAATGAACAGCCAATACTTGGGCGTAACAACGCGGCATGTTTCCAGAAGAGCGAATCACGTTGGTGGCAGCAAGACAGGGCATATGTGCATCAGTAGGCAATCTGAAGAGGTTGTTGTAAAACCCATGAACCCTGCCTTGCTCGACACACGCCGCCTCTCGCCAACAACTGTTGCCTGCTATTACCTGCACTTGGAGCTCCATACATGATGCGTTGAACCTTGATGAGGCCGGGCCTCCAACGCAGTGAGACGCTGAATCAGGCCAGGTCAGGTCAGCGACAAGACAATTCTGCGCGGTAAATTGAGGCAATAGAATGCATGCGTCTGCTGATAAGGTTGCGGCTGTTCTGATACCAGACACGCAACAGCGGCTCAGCAAGGGCCCCGGACCGGTGTAACAATTGCCTCGCTGTAGCGTCCGTCCACAGCACTGGACCGAGACGGAAAAGCGAATACGTACTCCGTACTTCGTGCCTCTCGTTCGTACCTCACTAAGAGATTCAACCCCTGGAGCGTAGTGGGGGAGGGGTGCAGTGCCCTCCGCAGATACTTGGCCCAGCTTACGGAGGCGGCGCTCCGTTTTCTCGTGCCAAACGGCCCCTCGGACGGGACGGAGCAACTTGGGAGCACAAAATTCACACATGACTCCAGTACCTGATTCAGTACAGCAGCAGGTAAGATTAGTATTCACCTCAATCAGCCATTCTCCAAGGCGAGAACACATGTACCAGAAACATTCCATGTTCGGAGACATGGAATCTGCAGCCTGTGGCTGCGACCATCTCAGCCGGTTTGGTCACCATTGGTCGATGCAGCATGAGATCAGATGATGCCACCTGGCTGATGCGTCGCGGACGACAGTCCTCACTGTGTGCTGAGAGTTTGCGGTCTCGACCAATGGCATGTTGTACCGCCCTTCTGCTCCGTTCTGACACCGTCTCGGGCGTTGGAGACGGTCCTTCATCTTATCGCACCGCTCCACTCGGCATCGAGCGATTACCGTTGCCGTGATGGCTCCTACAAGCTCCGTCCAGGCTAGTCAGTCGTCGCCACCACAGCGAGCCCTCCAGAGGAACTCACACGTGCGCACCAGATGGGCGATCTGCGGTCCAGGTCATGGGAGAGCTGGCCGGAGCCCTCTGAGACATGCATAGATTAGCTGATCTTCAAGCCGGTTATCTAGCGATGCTCTGTTGATCTCTGCCACGACCATTTGATGGGGAAAATGCAAATCCTGATGCCAGCCCTAGGTTAGGTGGTCTTCGCTAGATGGATGATGTAAGTGCAGTTGGGGGGATGACTTTGGGTAGCGTTTTTGGTTTCAGAAGGGAAAGGCGCATGGACGTCTTGGCGTGGGCAAGTGCAAGTGGGCGAGCGCCTGCACAGGCGGGCAAATGCAGTGCCGTCCGGAGTAGGGAGTACCTGGCATGCAAGTACCGGTCGTCGACAGTGCTGCCTGGGAATACCAGATAGGTACTGAGCAGCAAAGTCCTCCATACCTGCAAGCAGCGGACAGTGGGCAGGTGGCGGCGGCGGCAAGAGCTAAACGCGGACACCAGGGCAAGCGCAGCGCTTCTCACGAACTTACTTGTACTTGGACTCACCTCGACGGCGAGCTTCTCAGACAACTGACAACAACGGCGCGGGGATCGACAATACAGCGCCTTAGCCGGCGGACTAACGTAAGTAGAGTCGGCAGAATTCAGTTGGCAGAGCAGCAGATGCCATCAATGGCTTCTCCCGCATCGTCTCTGCTCGAACCAACAGCAAGATGCTAGCCTCTGCCACTTGTGCTAGTTCGCCTGGCGACAGGGTCATCCGGCGCTCGCGGTTGGTGGCTTTTTCCAAAACGGCCCTCCTCCATACCGAGCGTCGCACCTACAGTGCTCATCTCCTCCGTTTTGTATGGGCTCCGTCCTGCGCGGCTCCCGACAAATTGGTTACCCGCTCTTGGCCCTGACAATCAGCTACGAGTGCTGTACTCGTACTTGTGTCCGTACTTGGATCACAGCTCCGGCTCCTGAGTGGTGGTGTTGTGTTTTCGCGTGAGATGCCCCTTTCACCGCCGAGCTGGCCATGATTTGGGGGCAAGAGGATGACTGACGCAGCAAAAACGGGAGTTTTACGAGATAGAGGGGCACCTCTTCGTGTGCCGATGCAAAAAATTTCCCGGCATTCGGACGAAATTCCCACGACACACACCTTGCTCACCCACTAACCCATCACGCAACAAACTGGTCAGACCAACAAGTACGGCCCGCATCCGCTCCCCGCAAGACAACAGCTCAGTCGGTCAGTCAGTCAGACAGTCAGAAAGACGGGTTGGTTGTTTCTGACGCGGATGCTATGGAGAGAGGTCTGCGTGCGAGGGCGACCGTCTGCATGGCCTGCTCACATGCGTTGGTGGTGGGTGCGTCCTACTATAAGTCGCACTTTGGTCATTTGCGTCACTCGTTGACGTCTCACGATACCCCCTCTCCGGAGCATCGAGTACCAGTGGCTTGACAATGCCGTTCTTCGAGGGGTAATCAATGCCATTCCAGAGGTGCTCGTAGTCGAGGGACTCGGTGACTTGAACACTTCCGCCGGCTCTGCCTCGACACAGAGGGGAATGGAATCTGATAACGGCATATGGACCACCCGAGATTACTGACTATGCACGCCAGCGAGTAGTGGATGGCATCTCACCGGCTTTCCCAAGCATATGCCGGACCTACAAGCACTTGATCACTTATTTTCTCACTCATTTTTTAACCTCTTGATATCACCCGCCCCCCCCATCAAATGATGGGTACTGGTCCAGCATCCAGCACTCAGGCACCATATGCTAACATGCGGCGGCCGACTCCGAAGGCAAGATACACCGTACTACTACCAGTGCTGCCCAGTAGCCATGGCAGGGCGAAGCAGAGCATTGGAGTCACAGTACAAGGCTTCTCTGCGTACCAGCGTAGAACGCCGGCACCGAGTGGGTTCTCGGTGGGTTTTGCAAAAGGACCTGTGCAATTGGAGCCACAGCAGCGCTAGACACCAAATGGTAGCCGCTTCCGGGACCTCTTAGCGCCTCATTGCTCCGGAGCCAGAACATGTCTCGTCCCAGCATTGTAGGCCAGACCTGGTTGATTCACGGACTCAAGGACGCTGTCCAATTTCATCCCGTCTCAGTCAAGAGCGGCTTCGGAAGAGTAGGTCCGTTTAAACTATCTACTGTGTTTGCTCCGTCCAAAGACACGCCGTTGGCTTGCAAGCTAAGCGTTGTCTCCTCCGTGCTTCATATCCTCGGTTGCTGGTGAGTGCTGTGGACCTGAGAAATGAAGCTGGAAGAGTGTTTCGCCGGCTTCTTTGCCGGCCACGGCGTGACCGAGAGGGACAGAGGGAGAAACATATGATCGGAGGTTTCATCTTGCATCCAAAAATAAAGAGAAGGAAACGTTTCGCTCGCTCTTACACACAAACGTGCATGGCCGTCAGTTTCAACCCGTTCTTCATCCTCAGGACTGCTAGCAAGTTATGCTGGCCCAGAAGCTACAGGAAGGGGGGGTGGTCTGCGCACAAGAGCGCATCCAAAGGCACTGTCCATGTGCTAATACCGGCCCATGCATTGATTTTAGGTATCATCTCTGCATCTTCGCTGGCGTCTGTGTCTTGGAGCGGAGCTGGGTACAAGTGTCTGCCCGCCTCATATCCAAAAGCTCACGCCACACACCCTCCCCAATCGACGACCCCCATCTAAGCATACCCCGGCCTGCCCTGATGACAAGGGACCAGCATCAAAGACAGAACGGCCCTAATCGGCCCCCCCTGTTTCCCCATCATGCAGCACATGCCTTATTACCCACCTGTCTGCGGCTCTCACTTGGGGCCCCTGTCACTGCAAAGTCCTGGGGGCCAGTCTGCCAGAGGGGCCGACCGAGGACTGTCTTTTCTGCACCCCCCCCCTCCCCCCCCCCCTTGAAGAGAGAATCCCGGCCCTAAGCTAGGCTCTCTTCATGTGCCAGTCCCGCTGATCTCCTCTTTCCAGGGCTGCTGCTCTTACTGCAGAGTACGGGGGATTCATATCCAGATAGCCCACACCATGAAAGCACTTGCAAGTCGCCCCTTGCTCACGATCCATGGCTCAAGCGTCCCGGCTACCATTGCCTTTGCCGCTACTGTAAAGTGCCATCCTGGACTTGGTTTTGTGTGAGCCATTCCATATCAGCCGGATCCACGACTGCTCCGATTCACACCACACAGATTCCGTCCTTCTCATACATACATAACCCTCATCATGCCCGTTCCCATCTCAGGATTCTTGCTCTCAGCACAACTTGCTTCATTGGCATAATCGACTCTTTACGCCTACTTATCTCTCCTTTCAACTATCCTTTATCCTCTCTTGTCTTCCACCGCAATTAGCCTTGATATAAACAATACTCCCTCCACGTCTAAGCTGAGACTTGAAGAGCATCTTGACTTTAAACCTATACCTGAATTTTTTTTCTCCCTCCTCTTTTCTTTTTCCTCCAAGGAAAAAGACACACAAATTCTTATCTCTCTATACCAATACTCAACCCCTTCTCTATCATCATGACTGCTCCGTTATCCCAACCTACTGTGGCTGTAGTTGCCAAGGACGCCGCCACCATCCGCAAGCGCAGAAGACGTGCCCCCGCTGGTGGTGCCGCGGACGACTGCTTCACATGCTCTAAGCGCAATGTCAAATGCGACCGCCGCCGACCCTACTGCTCTCAATGCCTCGAGATCGGCAACGAATGCTCCGGCTACAAGACACAGTTGACCTGGGGCGTCGGTGTTGCAAGCCGCGGCAAGCTTCGCGGACTGTCTTTGCCCATTGCAAAGGCACCTCCGGTCACTCGTGAGCCGAAGAAGTCGCCTGTCTCGCGGGCAAGGGCCCAATCGAGCGCCGCTGCTCTTTCGACAAAATTGGCCCGAAGTCCCATCGACATTCCTTCAACAACACACACGGCTTCGACGCCGAGCACGCCAGCATACCAAGTTCCCGCGTACGACTACCTCTCCATCTCACACCACGGCCACACCCAGTCAATGTCACAGAGCAGCTGGGGCAGTGTTGGATATTCTCCTGGTCTTGTGCACTCGCCCGATGGAACACCGAGATATGCTAGATTTCCTCTGCATCTCAGCACCGATGCGCTCTCTTCCTCGTGCGAATCGGTTGGCAGCGAGGTAGACTATCTTTCTCCTCTGAGCCAATCATATGCTCGCGAGGAGATCCCCTTCAGCCATAGCCCGACCGTCATGTATGAAGGATATCCTACTCAGCATAGCTCCCCCATTGCGCAAAGCCCCCCCACCGTGTTGGTTCTTGACCACTGCCGCGCCCCTACTTCTTATCCAGGGCTGGTCTATGCCCCCTCAGAGACTCATCCTGCCCTCGCTCACCACATGGATCCTTTTGAGTCGCACCTTGGCCACAAACTTATGCGGGGTTGTGAAAGCCTCAGTGAGCATCACATGGCGCCCTGCCCGGCCTACCCCTTCTAATAAGCGAGCAGGTGTTCCTGAAGTCGATGCCGGCGGTGGCTCCACTCCACGAATTGCACGAAAAGCTTTACCACCGCCTAGACGTCACAGCAGTGGCCAGGTGCAATGGTTTGGACAAGCTGGCGCCAAGACGGATCTGTTGGCCAAGATGCCGTTTTTTATGGATTACTTCAAGATTACCATGGCCCCGTCTATGGTCTTCATAGATGGCCCTCACAACCCTTTCAGAGAGCACGTCCTACGCTTGGCAGTGCATAACCCGAGCGTGCAGCACGCCATCTGTGCCCTGTCAGCCTGCAATCTGCGAATGAAGAGGAGATTGAGCTTGGGACACGGGACAACTGAGTTGTTAGCAACTCTAATGGCGGAGAAACAGGCCTCCGAGACCACCTCGGGCACAGAGATGGAAGACAAATCACTTTCCGAAGAGATACAACATCGCAATCTTGCAGTACACCTTTTGAATCGACAGCTTGGCGATCCAGTGAAGTCGTGCCATGATTCGGCGCTTGCAACAATCCTCCTCCTGTGTCATTACCGAATGGTCGAATCTGGTATTGCAAAATTCCATACGCAGTTTGCAGGCGTTCGCAAGATTCTAGCCATGAGGAAATCTAGAGACTCAAACCCGTCTAAGGATTCTTCATGGATGGAGACTCTATTTACCTACTTTGATGCTATTTCGGCCAGCATCAACGAGCGGGAAGCGCAGCTAGCTCCCGGCTTTGAGGGTGTCTCTCCAGACGTACAGAACCTACCTAGTGGGTCTGAAAACATGATTGGATGTGATCGGAACCTCTTCAAGACGATTGGCAAATTAGGTCGCCTGAATCTCTTATCCCAGCATCGACCTGTGCAAGGCATGAGCGAGGCGGTAGAACCCCAGCAAGAAGATTGCGCGGGCAAGGAATCAAAATCGCCTCCACGATTTGACGGAAATGGTTTTGGTACAAAGCTCGACGACGACGAGATGCTCGCCAATGCGATGTACTCTTCGGTATCCTTTGACGAGCGGCAATATGTCTTTTGGACAGAGTGGAAGGCTGCACGGCAAGAGCTTCAAGACTGGCAGTTTGACGCTTCCTCGGTGGCCATGTCACTACCTGGCTCACCTACCACAGGTCAGCTGCGCGATTTGGGAGCTGTCTCTGAGGCATTTCGATATGCCGCCCTGCTCTACTCCGAGCGGCTAGCAAACCCACATGGTCCATCTACACACAGCAACTTCCAGAACCTGGTTAGTCAGGTTGTGCATCACGCAACAAGCCTAGAGACCAGTAGTGCGGCAGAAAAGTTCCTACTATGGCCCCTGTTCGTGGCTGGGTCGGAATGCATCGTGGAGTCACAACAAACCATCATACGGGACAAGTGTCGTGGCATCATGGGTCGATCCGGCTACATGAACAACCTAGCAGCTCTTGGTGTGCTAGAGAAGCTGTGGTCAGGAGAGATCAAGAGCGAGGCAAAGCTTCACTACTACAACGCTATGGGGACTGGCAGAGGTCCCTTCAACTGGACCAAGTGTCTCGGCGGGCCAGGCGCCGGGGTTGAGTGGATCATGTTCTAATTGCTTGACTCTCTATCTGAACATACGATTCATACGAGTAATACCTCATATGTTATCGCGGGGGAAAATGGTGATATAAAAAAAAAACTTGCTTCCTGTTTCGATTGTACATATTTTGCACGTGGCTTATTCGCCACGTTTCCTCCCCCTGTTTATGGTTTTTTTTTGGGTCTTTCTTTCTTTTGTCAATCAGTCGGCTTGTATGTTATTACATGATGAACAAAAAACGATGGGCATAACTTGTACAATAGCTTACTGTCCCTTAAGGACATCTATGATGGGCGGAAATGTCTGCATATATTGAATTCCTCTTTGGAGATTTACTCTTGAGTTAGTTTGCATTAGCTAGCGGGTATGAATATCTTGGTACGAATATCTTGGCACGAGTTTGGTTTATAAAAAATGAATTTTGAGTCTTGAAAACCACTACAACAAGCATATAGCAACAAAAGTGACGTGCATGAGAGAGAACCAGTTGTCACTGAGTGGGCTGGCACTGAACCTCCCGTTTGATCATGACTGCACGTACAACTTGATTTGGCACTGGTACGATGCGATACGATACGATGGGCACATGTACGATGATATCGAACTGATTGGGGTGATGCTAGCTCTCGGCGATGCCGGTTTCAAATGTTTAAAGAAAAGCCCCTCTACGAGTACGCAGGCGGGTGGAAGCGGACCGACTACACGAAGCCTTCCGTGTGTCCATTCGCTCCAATGGAGGATGGAGAATGGAGAATGGAGGCACAAGAACCTAAACTGCAAGGCACCAGGAACCAGGCACATGAGATGGCTAGTATAGTAGAAAGGTAGTACGAAAATAGACCTGGCAGGAAGCAGTAGCACCGTACAAAGCTAGTATGGAACGGTGAATATCGTACCTGGGCTGGTACAAAAAAGTACGGAGTATATTGCTTGGTCTGGCGGAGGGGGGGCGTGCGGTTGACCAAAAGTTCAAAAGCAGTTTTGCCCGGGACCCGAGAAGGGAAGGGGGAATATCGAAAGAGGCAATGAGATGATGACAAGGAGGGTGGCCTTTTTGCTCTCTGGCGCGCCACCATCTCGCGGCGGGATTTTGAGATTGAGAGTGCTTGGGAAGGGTAAGGCGTTGGTTCGCGTGTGTGTGGTGTAAGATAAAATCGAGATGCGGCAGCGCCTTTTTCTTCCCTCTTTGGCTTTCCCTTCCCTGTCTTGAGCGTTTTTTGTTATTTTTAGTGGGAACGGGACAGATTCGGCAGATGGGTTTTCGAGTAAGCGGAATAATTTCGAAGTTGAAGGGACGGATGACTACGGGTCATATGGAGGAATTATAAATATGGAATGGCGTAGACGGGAAGCCTGTCCCTTTGGATGGGGGCCCCCTTGCGAAGGAAGGGAAAATAAAAAAAAAGGTGAGAGCTAGTTGCGAAGAGGCGTGGGCTAGAGTGCATGGGATGCCGGTGATGGAGGAGGTGAGATTTTCAGGGTCCATGAACGTGTTTACCTTTTCATTGGCCCCTTCTCGTCTCTTTGGCTCTAGCTGATATGCGCATCCCCATCCTATTTCGATCAGCGTCTAGATTTGGAGGGGGGAGGGGTGGGTTGGACAGAGGAAATGGGTGGTTTCATGGCAGCTTGTTGGTGTTGCGCTTCCCCAGCATCATAAGATGGGCGGAGCGATGATCTTCCGTATGCAAGAATTAAGCAGCGGGCGACGGTGAGAGCGAAGATTACATGTATGCAGAGAGCGTGAGAAAGGTGCCGCGTCGCTTTCATTAATCGGCGGACACTCGTCCGACGACATGCCTCGGGAGAGTAACAAGCGAGAGAATGCTGAAAATATCATGTATGACAGGCCGGTCAAAGTACTGCCGCTGACTCGGATGACCGGTCCTGGCTGACGGGTTTTCCTATTTCATACTCCGTACAATTTCCTCTGCCTTCTTTTCTTTATCTAGGCGCTCCGTTTTGCTGCATGATATTTGAGTGATATAAGAGACCTGGCCTGTTCATGATTCAAGCATCATGATGCTGTAACCGCCGTGAAGAGGGAATCTCCCCATGGGCTAACTCTGCGTAGCTAGGACTGGGTTTCAACGGCTCAAGTATGTCATCGGGCAATGACACCCTGATGGACATTTTTTGCATAGCCAGGGGGGGCTGGACCTTGATGAGCAAGGACGGCGGACATGACACAGAATCCAAAGGCATGACAGAAACAAAAAAAAAAACTCCGGTTCTTTGAAGCACCGTTCTTGGCTGCCTGCGCTTATTGGCTGAGTCGGATTAGGCGGGAATGGCAGACAAGGTGATGACGGCCCTAGGAGATATCAGATCAGAGCGTAAGCACAGAGATTGCAGTGGCCTGAGCGTGAGGCTTGTTTGTGGAGGCAGCTCTACTGAGGAGACCGAGCAGGGGGAATTGGGATTTGTAACGGATTCTAAAGGTTTATGCGATGAATGGATATACCTACTTACATGGTATGTTTGGCTATAGGACTTTCGCATCGGCCCCCTTCTTTGGGAATCATCTGTTGTTACATGAGATGTCGCACGCGAGGCAACCCAAGAACTTGGCAAGTGTTATAAATGATTAGTATCTAGTAGTAGACAATCATATATCCTTAGTGTGAAGCTTTTCGTGCCATTATCAAGCTTATCTGACCGCTGGGTATTGATCCCAGAAGGGGAAACGTATACGAGTACATGCAGTACTGCTAAAGGACGATTCGCCATACACAGTAATCACCACGCGGATTCGGCGCCTGTGATTGGTGCATTGCTGAGGGCCGCTGGAGTGGAATGACAAGGGGTACTATAGTGATGACGAAAAAGATACGCAGCAGAACGGAGCCGTACGGAGCAGAGTGAGAGAGAGCGAGCGAGAGCGATGGACCGTTGAAGTTGGTCCTGTGTAGTGCTCGTACAGCCGCGCATTGAGCACGTAGGCACTAGTCATGTAGTTGAACAGGTGAACATTGTGTGGGCCGTTGGGAATCATCCGGCACTTCCACCGGGATCTCACCCAGGAGATGGAGAAGGGCGGCCGTCATTGGCGCTACACCTTCAAATGCCGTGGACATTGATGGACGGTGAAGAGGGGGAGCAACGCCATCAAGTGATTCGCCTGAGGGACGAGGCTAGCTGGCCCAGCTCCTGAGCTCTGTCCCAAGTGAGGCTAAGCAGAGACCGCGTTAACTAACCTGTCCTGACCGACTCCTTTTTCCGCGAGGCGGGGAAAAGTTTCCAATCAATTACGAATACAGCCGACCCAGCGGCTCTTTGGATCGCCGACCTGATCCATTCTCCTTCCGTGCCGCGTTTCTTCTTCTCTTTCGCGTTGGCCTCGTTTGAGCCTAATGCATGCAGAGATGGAGCCTCAAAGTAAGCATATAGGGCCACTGAATCGGACGCTCCGTGCGCTGCTCCATCCGCGACACTAGAGATTGCCAGTTTGGAGCGAGGGCGTCGAGTCCGGTCGACAGAAGGGCCAACGTGATATCTGGCGAATCGCGTGATGGAGCCTCTAGAGACGCCTAGTTTCGGTCGTCGACAGAGCTGGCGCGGTGAGCGGAGACTGCGGGAGGCTTTTGGTGTCTCAAGCTGGCTGAAGAGAATCTAACGACGGAGACGGGGACAAGACGGAGACGGTGGGGGGAGGGACAGGACGAAAGTAGAGACTCCCAGTGCCAGGGGAACGGGATGGGATGTGGTGGAGGGGCTTGGGGAGAGTGTGAGATTGAGCATCAATGCTGTGTGTCGAATGTTTTTTTCATTCGAGGTGTACGGAGTACCTTACGTGTACGAGTACCATCGGAGGCGCAGATGTTCCGGAGTGTGACGTTGCCTCTCTCCGTGCCTCCTTCTCTCCTCCTCATCTCATCACATCCCATCTTCCCCTCCTCTTTGATTAGCAGCAGATGCACGTTGAAGCCATCGTCGAAGAGGAAACGCCACGGCAACGACGGGTAAATGGAGGTGCATCGCCCATGTGCCATACCTGTCCATATCCGTCAACACCACCACAAGAGGCACAAGCGCAGGCTCAGGCTCAGGCACAGGCACGCGGCGCTAAAGAAACTCCCATATCCGTCAGCCCACAGCAGCTAGCACTAGCACATAGCAGATGGATCACATCTGGGCTAATTCGAGACCTGGAGCAAGGCAATGAATGTCGGCCGACTGGTTGATTAGGCGCCAACACTCATCCAGCATCTGGCAAAGCCTGTATCCGGTATCCGCTATCATATACTCGCAGGTACTATAACGTACTGACTATGTAACCACCAGGTCGGGTCCTTTGATATTTTGCAAACAGCATTCCGCGGTCCGACCCATGTACTCGTACTGCTTTACCTAGGTAGGCTTTACCCAGGTTTGCCGGGCACCTGCACTCGAGCTGCGGCTGCGGCGGCGGCGGCTCTTTACACTATGAGTACGAGGGCTCTGGGCTCGCAAGACATTTTCTCCGGTCATATTTGATACTCTATGTGCAGTTCCTCGGCTGCGTATCGCTTGCCTTACAGGCACTCCTGGCACATGCGTGCATCCCAGAGCTGGCACAGCAAATCTGTCCGGGGCAACAAACTCCGTCCCTGTGTCTCGCCAAGGGGATGGGGAGAGAGGGGTTGTCCACGAGCATGGGGCTCTAGTTGGCTCTGGCCTGTCCTGCAAGGCCCCTGGACAACTGGAACCTGCATGATCGCAAAGCCAAAGCCCTGTCGGCTACCCAGGACGAGTATCGCATAGTGGTACGGAGCAATAGTAGCACTACTGCTACTGCACGGTTGGAGTGCTATCTCAAAGGGCGAGACATGGGTAGAGCAGACGGGGAGGCATCAAAACGCCGTGGCCGAGCACAGCAGCCATCGATGGCTTCTTCCAGCTCCAGGCCCCTCCCTGACGCAAACTGACCAGTTCTGACAGAGCTCCACGGGCTAGCCTGCTTGTGGTGTTTAGCAACGGCCGGGCTGCGGCGGATCTGCAGATTCCACCAGTGTCCCTGCCCCACGGCATGGATGGACTTTGGGGGAAGAAGTAGGGGGCGTGAATCTACGACCGTTGCTAGCAGTGCCTTTACCGGTGCTGCTGCGGCCAGTCAGAGCAAGCTCCCTCGTCTCAAGGCCTGGCTTCACGAGGCTATGCCCCAAGTGGCACGGCGTGCTGTCGACTGTCGTACTGTCGGCCTGTAATACTGGATTGTCTTTTGCGACTGAATTCCATACATCGAGGACTTGATGATCCAAGTGCTGCGTTTCCCTTGTTCATTATTCATCATACGGTCCTCACGGCGAGAACACAGATGTAGAGGGCGCGAGCATGGTTCGGCTTACACGACCTCCGAAACCGCAGCTCAGCGTTTTTTGGGGGGACCTCGGCCGGGGATTCGAATCCTAAATATAGGTCCGGATTGCTCCCCCATACTTTTGACGTCATTTACGCGACGGCAACAAGAGGGTGATGAAAGAAATCAAAGTCAAATACTACTGCGGGAAGTATGCCTGTCCAGCATGCAGCCATGCCTACCAGTTTGCTGCGATACTACCTAAGACACAATTTATGTACTCCGCAAAAGCCATGGGTTCATGAATTTGATCCCATCTCAAGACGTACGGGTAATTGCTCTATTTTTACCAAAGTAGTAGCTGATGCGGCTGTGTACTTGCGAAGATGACACGCGCTGGCCCCCATTCGAAGTGTGCGCGTCTATTGACGGAATAAACGACTTCCATCGGCCTTCGCAGAGCCTTCTTTCCATCAGCGAGTGCGAGTCAGCCAATCAATTGCTTGATCCTGCCGGCAAGTCAGGTCAATCAATTGAGAAGACCGGTAAATCAATTTATCGATCAGCCATCTCGCTACTGCCGCAAATCCTTTGCACTCCATCAATCATGACAGATGGAGTCGCCATGTCCAAGGGCAAGGCTGTGGACAGGGACATGGACATGGACATGGACAAGGTCAAGGTCATGGCCAAGGTCATGGTGGCTACGTGGGAGAATGGGGGCCATGCTCTTCTCTCCCCGTCTCACTCACAGACGCATCCCGATAGCCCCAAGGGACCCCTGATGAAGATAACCTGTACGAGTACGAGGTATGTAGGGTAAGTGGCCCCGGTGGATTAGGTATTGACCAGGGGTTTACGATCTAAGAGTTTTAGTCCACCAGAGAATACATTAAAAATCTC